CCAAATCCTGCTTCCATTTAATCATGCCAGGAGCTGTCACTTATTGAGGGAGCACATACTGCTTGACCATATGTTTTACAAATATTGTATTAAACTCTCATACCAGCCCTGGGAGAAGGCGTCATTATTCCCACTTTACAAGAGGCTGAGATACTCAGAGAAGTTAAGTAACTTGCCCAAATCACCCAGCTAGCAGGGTGGGTGATTAGCGCCAGGAATTAGTCCTAGATGTGGGACTTCTCTGCCCTGCTTTTTCCATCCCTCCAAAGCAGATCTCTCCTCTGCCCACTGTTCCTGGTCACATCGCCTGCTTTAGAGTTGTCATAGCACTCACCACACTCTGAAACCATCTTGTTCATTTCTGCTTCCTTGTTTGCTGTCTGTCTCCCCAACAATGCTCTTTCAGAGCTGCCCTTGTTTGCTTTCCATGACAGTCTCTCCAGCACCCAGCACAGTGACTGGCTCGAAGCATTTGTTGTTTGACCCACTGAATGAAGGGATTATGTCATGGAGCCTCTTGACACACACCCTGGCCTGGTTGCCTTTGGAAACAGAGGATGTTGCCGCTGGCACTGCCTTCCTGGGGTGTGCAGAACTGGAGGTTGAGGTTATGTGGGTGCCTGTGACTTCATAGGGTCTCCATTGGTTCATGGTTCTAGCCCTTCTAGGGTGAGCAGAGTTGGGGAGACTGACTCAAGCTAAGGGAACTCATCAGAGGATGGTGGGCAAGCTGAAATACCAAGTGAGGGGGCCGGTCCTCCCTCCAGGAGGAAAATCTACACCTAGGAGTCAGCACAGGGAGTGACTTTTCAAGGAGGAGTTGGAGTAAAGGAAGTGGAGACTTGTAATGGTTTGTGTCACCAGCAGAAATAGGATCACCCCATAAGCAAGGTCGAAGGCATTTTTTTTAAAAAAATTGAAATTTAACATAAACATGATAAACTCTTAAGTAAATAACATGATGCATGTCTATCCATCCACATCACTGCTGCTCAGTTTAAGATGTAGAACAGGGCCTCCCCGGTGGCGCAGCGGTTGAGCGCTGGGTTGTGAAGATGCCCGCGGCCTCTGCGGTGCCAGTTCATTCCCCGGCTGCTCCCCGGCCACCAGAGGAGGGTCCCACATGGCGCGCAGACCTCTCCTGCCGCCCGCTGCTCCCCTCAGCAGTGTACTTCGGTCCTTCTGCCTGCTCTGCTCCCCGCTCTGGCTCTGGTGAATTCTCTCACCCTCCTGCGCTTCTGACTGTACCCAGTGCTTGTATAAATAAATAAATAAATAAATCTTTAAAAAAAAAAAGTTTCTTCCATTTTCTAAAAAAAAAAAGATGTAGAACATTTTCATTCCACTGGAAGGGGTCCCACCTTCTCCCCAGAAAGTTCATTTGTGCCCAGCAAATAATCTCCCACCCCTTCCCCCACCCAAGGGCAAACGCTGTTTGTTATTTGTTTTTACTTGTGATTTTAAAAATATGGAACATGTCATGAATTTCTATGCCACCCATGCGCAGGGGCATGCTAATGCTCTCCGTTCCAGTTTTAGTGTTTGTGTTGCTGAAGCCATCAAGGGCAACCGCTGCTTGGATCTCTGTTACTGTAAAGCTGTTTTTTTCCAGTTTTGAATTGCAAATACACGAAAGCACGTACTATTTACTTTTTTGTTTCTGAGTTCTTTCACTGAAATTGTGCCTGGAGATTTGACAGCCTCACTGTGTCTATCAGTAGTAGCTCATTTTTAAAAATTTCTGTGTAATATTCCACTGTGGGAAGATACCAGAATTTTTTGCCTCTGCTACTCTTGATGCCTCTTGCTTTTAGCTATACAAATACAGCTGCTATGAATATTCTGGGACCTACTGTTTGGTGGTGATAGCACTCATTTCTGCTGGGTACATAACCAAGAGTGGAATTGCTGGGTCACGGGGTAGATACATTTGTTTTGTCCAGTAGCTCCTGCCCAAATCTGTCCCAAAGCAGTTCTACCATTTTAAAGCTAAAGAGTCTTTTTTTTTTTTTAAGATTTATTTATTTATGTATACAAGAACTGGGGTATAGGCCAGAGGTGTAGGGGGATGGGGGGATTCACCAGAGACAGAGTGGGGAACAGAACAAGCGGATTGACTGAAATACACTGCTGAAGGGAGCAGTGGACAAGACAGGAGAGGTCTGCTGCATCCTGTGGATAGCTCCCTGGCCAGGGATCGAACTCATACTGAAGTGGCTGTGGATAGCTTCATAGGTTATGTCTTAACCCCTTGGCCACCAGGTAACGGCATCAAAAGGAGTTGGATAGTTTTAATGGTGTCGTCATCCATATGATGATGATCACATCCAAATTTGTGAAGGGCTCCACCTCTGTCTCCATTGAGGAAATACACTGTCAGGTGGCCAGAGGCTTTCTGTCAACTGACAAAGCCCTATATTTTCTGACCTATGTTGGCTGGACCCTAAGAAAGTCCAGCTCTTTTTCAATATTCTTTATCGTCACCAAAGCTTGCCCTTACAACACTGCCTGGCCACAGGCAAGTCACAGTATCCAAGATTACAGTTTATTTTCCATTGGAGCCTGTTAAATCAATATCTTCCTTGTCAAGAGGCACCTCAGGCCTCTTGCAGACATTATGGTCTCATCAGCGGCTGGCATGCATGTCATGCTTTGGTGGGTTGCTTCCTGATGAGATTTCCCAGGTCCTAGGACAGACGGCTGGGACAGACGGCTCTCTCTTGCACGTCGTGGTGATACTGGTGTATTTTCATTCAGGGTATGACAGTTTCAGACCCATTCCCCCAGATTCTTAGATGCTTCTTATTTAGAAACTATACCCTGATTACAAAATTCATAGAAAGTGTCAGTTGAAAAAGATCTCAGAGTTCACCAAATCCACCTCCTCTCTCATGTAAAGAAACTGAGGCCCATGGAAATCTGACTTGCTCAAAGTCAGGCAACTTGCCCCCTGACCACTAGCCTACGATCATTTCTCTGTGGCCACAGGTAAGCAGGATGGTCACCTGGACAATCAGACTCTGGGATGGTGGAGTCAGCACTGTTTGCAGAACCTGCTGTTGTTTGCAGACTTTTGTGGTTTACCATGGCCTCTGTCACTCCCAATTACTGTCCCATGAGCTTTGCGGCCTGCAGCGGGGCTGCCTCTATGGACCCACCTCTGCACTTAGTTCACATCTGCCCCTTCAGCTTTGGTGGGAGAGATATTATTAAGGTGCTACTGTGGCATCTGTGGAACACACTAGAGTTCTACGAAGCACTTTTCATTTATCTTGGGTCATTGCCACATGCACCCCGTGAGTTCTCAGCGCTGGTAGCATTCTCTTCCTTTAGAGATGAGAAAAAGAAGGCCCAAAGGTTTACCCCAGGTAATATACAATCTAGGATTCCGCTCTGGCAATTAACATGAAGTTTGCACTAAGGTCTGTTTTGAAAGCTGCCTCTTCCATAGAGTCTTCTGTGATTCTTCCTTCTGTGATGGGGTTGTCTCTCTCCTCTAACCTCCTAGGATCTGTCTTATGATGCTTAGGACCTTCCCCATGAGATATTCTTGTAAATTCATCCATCTAACATTTACTGAATGCCTGTGGCATTCGAGGCCCTATGCTGGAGATACCTAGATGAAGCTCACAGCCTGGTAAGTGAAAAGACAGGAATCCTGAATTTGATAGCCACAAGATCTGATGCTTTGTTGTTGTGTAAGAGGAGCCATGGTTACAGAAGGATGAGGGTACAGGTCAATCATGGAATGCTTCCTGGAGGAAGTTGCACATTTAATGTATAGTTGTCTCATCTCTGTGTGCCTCTTGAGGACAAAGAATGTTTTCAATTGCTTTTGTCCCTTATGCCCTGGATCAGTACTCCCAACTCCACTCTCTCCACCTTCAGACAAATGTGAATTTGAGGGTCTTACCCTCTTTCCCAGAGCCCCAGCTTTGGTGAGCTCGGGGCTGACTTGCCCTTAAGACAGTGGTGATAGACATGAGGGAAGAGCTGTGAACTTTTCCAGTTCAGTCATTTTCCTTTGGTCCCCCTGAGTCACATCCTAGCCCCAGTGCCCCCGTCCTGTCCAGAAAGGAGCCACAGTATATTAAGAGCTTCTAGGTCCCTGTGAGAACTTCCTTCCCTTGGAGAGGAGGCTTGCACAGCCTCAAGAAGCAAGGGGGGGAAAGTAGCAGGCCTTTGAGGGGACGGTGTATCTGTGGTGATCAGCGGGGATCTGAGGTTAGATTCCCTAAAAGTAGAGCAGAGATGGTGGTGGGTGGGGAGCAGGGGGTGTTGGTTCAGGCAAGTGATTGCTGAGAAAATGCTCTCAGGAGATGATGGAAACAACCAGGCAAAGTGTGGTTCAACCAATTTAGCCTCAGCCTGTTCCCACCGGGGCTCTAGAGTACGAATAGCTCCACAGTCATCCCATCTTGAGGTCTGGGGTCTGTGTCCACCAGTCATTGGGGTGTGTGTGTGTGTGTGTGTGTGTGTGCATGCGAGCATTGGGGAAGAGGGTAAACTATAAGGCATTTCTGGCCCAGGCAGTCCCCACCAGCTAAGGGTGATTTCCTGGGGAAGATGAACTCTGTGTCCCTAGCAGCTAACATTCCCAGCAGCTGGGGGTGGGGTGGGTTGGTGGATAGACCTGTCACATACAGGGACCTGGGTCGGGTACCAGCAGCCCCACCCACAGGGGGCTGCCATGACATGATGCCCATTGAGTAAATACCAATCTGCACAAATTACAAAAAGCCTTCACCTCACCAGCCCAGTGAAGAGCACAGATGTCTTGCAAGGCGCGTGGGGTGGGGAGGAACTGCCCCTTCCCCGAATCCCTGGCCCTTCTGGTTCCGGCTTGGAGGTCTGGGAGAGGCGTTCCTGAACTCAGTGGGGTCAGGCCTCTAGAATGGCGTGGGAGGCCTGGGTTGACCCTTCCCCAGTACACTTAGGAGGCACTGAGCCCCACCTCCGACACTGCTGTCTCTTGCTTAAACCTCCTCTCTCTCCCCCAGCTCCAGCCCAGGCGCAGATCGTGCACGCAGGCCAGGCGTGTGTGGTGAAAGAGGACAACATCAGTGAGCGTGTCTACACCATCCGGGAGGGGGACACCCTCGTGCTGCAGTGCCTTGTCACCGGGCACCCTCGGCCCCAGGTAGGTCCCATCTGGCCTTGCTGGGCCCTCCTGTCCTTGGTGCTGCATGCCCCACCCCCACACTGGGACATGAGCTTGAGTTGCTGGGGACTCGAGCTGACAGCAGCCAGTAAACAGAAGACAGGAGATGATCTGGGGAAATAGCTGGAAAATAAACTCTGTGGAGAAGGGCTGAAGGCTGTGGGCTCACTCACCTGAAAACATTGACAGCCGAGGGGAAAAATCAAATGTCACTTGTTCAATTCTCCATTCCATGTCTCTGGTGAGCAGAAACACCTTCAGATGCAGAGTCAACCAAAGTTTGAGGGTGGCCTGTGTGCCAAACACTCTGCTAGGTGCTTTCTCTATTTTTCCTCTTTGGGTCCTCACATCCATGCTGTGAAGGGGCATTAGTGTCCCCATTTTACAGCAGAGGAAGTCAGAGCACAGAGAGGTTGGGCAGACGCCCAAGGTCAATGGCTCCTGAAAGGGAGGAGAAGAATTTGAATCTAGAACCCGTGTTCTCTGTAGCTGAGGACACTTCCTCCCAGCATTTCTAACATTGGGTTGAGCGCTCCAGGGGTTATCAAAGAGAGAATCCAATCTCTATTTCTGGTAGGCAAGCCCCACACTCTTAGAGTTAAAAGACTCACAGTGACTGGAAGGCAACACATGGTGACTTATCTGGAAAAGCAAGGCGAATTTTGTCCCAGACCAAGTGTGAGGTCCAGGCAGGAAGTGTTGGCCGGTTATCACTGAATGCTGAGGCGAGGAGACAGGTAGCGGGGCCTGCAGGGTGGATAGAATTTTTTGGTGAGTGACTATGATCTTCAGTAGCAGCAGAAGAGGTTTCAATATGATCCTGGGAAACACAGTGAAATGGGAGGTCCTTTTTGGGGATAATTTGGGGGGAGGGAGGACCGTAGTAGATTTGACTTTTGTTGAGCAGATGGACAAGGAAGTCCCTAGGGATTATTTCAACCTGAAACTATTATCACCACTCGCTCCTTCTCAAAGGTTTGTTTAGAAGTGAAACAGCGCCGCAGGCCTTCAGGCTCGTGTCCGTGTCAGTGTGGCTACTGCGGCCAGTCTTCCCTTGCACCGGGGAGGCAGCTGGGCCCTCTCTCTCTCAGGCTGCACTGGCTCTCTTGGTGTGTCCCCTTGTGTACCTTGCATGTGTGTTAGCTGTTATTGTGGCCGTTGCGTGTGTGTCGTGGCTGTGACTGTGCAAACGCACACACCTTTTTCTATTTCCATTGTTTCACTTGTTAACTAGGTTCAAGCCTTTCGTTTCATATTGGATCCTCATTCCCCACACTGAGCCAGCCTCACAGGCCTCTCTTTTTATGTCTCTTACATACGTCTTCTCCTCTCTATTCTTCATTTCCCTTCAGTGCTGTCCTTTGAACCATGACAGTGGGCTCTAACTGGCCTCCCATTCCCCCACATCTCCCTTCCAGGCCATTCTTGCACCCTTCTCTGGAGTTAACATCCCAAACCTGCTGTGTCATCTCACTCCCTTGCTCAGAAGCCTTCATAGCTCTCCATTGCTTACCAGATCCAGTTCAGGCTCCCAGAGATGGAAGGGAAGATGCCCACCATCCAGCCCCTCCCTTTTTTTCCTGTGTGGTCTCCCACTACTCTCTTCCACATACCCTGTGCCCCAGTTGAACTTGCCCAAGTATACCCAGTTTACCCCTGCTTTTGGCATTGTTGCTTACCTTTCCTAAATTGGTCTCTAGCTCCTTTTTTTGCTCATTTCACCACAACAAATATTTATCGAGCACCTGCTAGTGCCATGTCCTTCTATGGCCCCTCAGGACATAGCTTCAGTTTCTGTATCTACAGAGCATCTGGTCTAGTAGGGAAGAGGGAATACTGTCTGATGGATCACGCTGTGGTCAGGATTGGGGACTGAGTGGGCATAGAATTCCCAATCCAAACAAATAGCAAGAAAGAGGAGATCTCTTTTTAGGGGCCTAAACAAAGAAGGAATTCAGAGCTAGGGCAATTGAGGAACTTGGTCCTAGGAGGGACTTGGGCTGCATTCTCACCTCAGGGATAGTGGTGTTAAGACACATGTTGGGGAAAGGTATGAGTAGAGGCCACCAGTTTATTCATGTCTGGAACTACCTAAAGCCATAAGTTCAACAAGAGTGGTACCACCTATGAATTGGAACTAGAAGATCTTTGTTCTACAACCCAGAATCACAGCAGGGTGTGGACTCTCTACTTCGGGATGTGGGTGCAGTCATCTGAGACAGAGCTTGATCCCAAGCCTGTCTCTGTCTTGCACTGTCCAAGGGGTGAAGAAACCCTAACATAAGAAACTAGTATAAAATCTGATTGGAATCTGTGAACCTACATATTTTGGGCATCGACAATCATAAAACTATACCACAGACAGACCTTTAAGGGCCCAAGTGGGACTTCCGTGAAAGATAATTCCCACTTATTACAAACCAGTGCAGTAAAAAATTTAAAACACATTTAAAAATAGAATACCAGGATAGTCAGTTCCTTGATGTAAATAATCACACAATTAATATTGGAGACAGCAGAGATGACAGAGCAACTTGACAGGATCTTTAAAATAACTATGTTGGGCCTCCCTGGTGGCACAAGGGGTTAAGGCACAACCTATGAAGCTATCAACAGCCACTGCAGCACGAGTTCGATCCCCAGCCGGCTAGGGATCGAATACACTGCTCCCCTCAGCAATGTATTTCAGTTGATCTGCCTGCTCTGTTCCCCACTCTGTCTCTGGTGAATCCTCTCACCACCCCCCCCAACACACCTCTGGCCTGTATCCCAGTTCTTGTATGCATAAATAAATAAATCTTTAAAAAATAAAATAAAATAACTATATTTACAATGTTTAAAGAGATAATGGAAGGAACAGAATCTGTAAGACAGTTAAAACCTGATCAGTTAGCTATGGAAAAAAGCAATTAGAAATCCTATAAATAAAAATAATACAGTGGTTTGAAAAATTTGACTTCAATACTATAGTGATAGCTAAAGAGAAAATTACTGAACAGGATGATGGATATGAGGAAATTGGCCACAATGCATTGGAGAAGACAAAGAGATGGAAAACTGTGAACAAGAAGGTGGGAGGGAGGTCAGAATGAGAAACTACAACATAAACTTAGGCATGCTGCGAGGACAGACTAGAGATGACTTAGAGAGCAATTTAGAGATAAGAGCTGAGAATTTTGTAGAACTGAGAAAGCCATGAACCAGGATATAAAGCAAACCATGTCCTAAGCAGTACATAAACTTACCTCATCTAGACAAGTCACAGCAACCTACAAAATGTCAACTACAAAAAGAAAATGAAATTTTTCTGGCCTGTTCTCTCTCCAAAACACCTTCTGACCTAAGTGTGATTGCCTGAAACTGCCCGTAGCCTTCCCAAAGTTTTGTAGTCTCTAGGTGGGGAGGTGATGAGTAGCAACACTGTGGCCTGCAGTGACCCCTCCCTGCACCAAAAGTTTGCCCTTTCACCCACTTCTCCCCAATCTTGTTGTTTTTATGACCTATAACTCGATCTGTTCACTGGGATCAGGGCCCTTGCCCTGTCTCTGTACTAAGAAACACTGACCAACTCTAAGATGGGAAGGTCCCCTGCCCTAATCCTTAAGATATTATCTGGAACCAATCTTCTCAGACCTTTGGTACTTCAGGCAGTAGCTGCAGTTTCTGTGTGACCCTTCATCTTTTCCCATTCTCCAAGGCAGTACTACTAATAACAGAAATTTGAGAGAATAATGTACACCAGGCACCACACATACGTGCTTTCTTTCTAAACCTCACAATAACCTGCAAAGTGGATATTATGATATGTTAGTTTTCCTTTTTTAAAAAGATTTATTTATTTATGTATACAAGAACTGGGGTACAGGCCAGAGGTGCGAGGGTAAGAGGATTCACCAGAGACAGAGTGGTGAACAGATCAGGCAGATTGACTAAAATACACTGCTGAGGGGAGCAGCGGGTGAGACAGGAGAGGTCTGCTGCACCATGTGAGTCACCTCCCTGGCCAGGGATAGAACCTGTGCTGCAGTAGTTGTGGATAGCTTCATAGTGCTGACACTTAACCCTTTGCACCACCAGGGAGTCTCTGATATGTTAGTATTCTATTGCTGCATAATAAATACTCCAAAAACATAGGGACTTCAAAAAAAAAAAAAAAAACAAACAAAAAAACCCTTGTTATCTCACAGTTCCTGCAGGATGGGAATCGAGGAGCCACTTGCCTGGCTAGTTCTGGCTCAGGGTCTCTCAGGAGGCTGCAGTCATCTGAGGACTGACTAGGACTTGAAGGCTCCACTTCCAAGCTAACTCCCCTGGCTGCTGCCCGAGGCTTCTGTCCCTTCATAGGTGGGCTTCTTCACAGGGCTACAGCTGGCTTTCTCCTGAGCAAGTGACTGGGGATGGCGACCAAGATGGATATCAGTCTTTTATAATCTGATCTTGGAAGTGACATACCATCATACCTGGCCTGTCCTACTGGTCACACAGACCATCCCTGGTTGAAAATAGGAAGGGATCCCTGAGGCAGGCATCACTGGGGACCATCATGGAGGCTGGCGACCATACAGACTCTTTCACACATGAGAAATCTGAAACTGAGTGATGAATAACCTACCCAAGTCCCCTAAGCTAGTAAGTGGAATGATAGAACAACTATATTAAGTTAGTCTTCCAGGCGCTAAGTATATACTCATTTACTAGTAACCCTCGGAGCAGGGCAAACATTTTACAGAGGAGGAAAGGAAGACAGAATAAATTAGGTAGCTTGCCCAACCACCCACCATCCAACCACTGCACATACTTTAAAGCCCTTTCCATCTGACCCCAGATTCCCCAAGCTCTTCACCGAGCCTCCTACACCACCTATGCAACCCCAAGAGTCTGTTCGGCTTAGCTTCCTAGGCCTTTGTGTGTCCCCACACAAAGAGTGAAAAGAGTATGGGGCAGAGACAGATGCAGGGCCTTCACCCTGGAGACCCCACCCTCACACAGTGTCTGATTCTGCCCCGCCCGGGGCCAGGTGCGGTGGACCAAGACGGCGGGCAGCGCCTCGGACAAGTTCCAGGAGACCTCTGTGTTCAACGAGACGCTGCGCATCGAGCGCATCGCGCGCACGCAGGGCGGCCGCTACTACTGCAAAGCGGAGAACGGCGTGGGTGTGCCCGCCATCAAGTCCATCCGCGTGGACGTGCAGTGTGAGTCCTGGCCCATCCAGTCCATTCCCGGGTCTGGCATTGGCCCCCAAGGGGTTAGGTAGTGAAGGAGGAGTTGAGGGGAAGATGCAGAAGCAGCACCTTGGTAGAAGACATCTGTAGAAGCTCTTCAGAACTAGACAGGCATCTCTGCTATGTCTCTCACATGGTTCTCTGTGAACCTGGCTACATCCCTCTGAAGTGTTAGGGAGAGCAGGGCAGGATTACACCCATTCCACAGATGAAGAAACTGAGGTAACAAGGCATGGAGACTTGCTCACCCACAGGTCTCCTTATGGTCTGTGTCCTTCCCACAGTAGTACAAGTGTCTGCTTTTGTCCCAGGAGCAACCCAGAGACTTCCCTATGCCACTACCTGCAGGACCAGGTACCCTTCACCCCTTGCTGCTGGTTGGATGCGAAGCCTCTAGACCCTACCTGCTCCATGGATAGTCCCTTTATTTCCAAAGCTATCTCCCCATCCACCTCTATGCCCATCCAGGCTGACCCAGGTACCCAGAAGATGTAAGGCCAGGCTCCAGGGTCTATCTGACATTTTCCTAATGTCTGCAGCAAGCCTAACCATTAAACATTCTCCCCTATAGAGTGGTGAGCACTGGAACCCCACACCTGTTCTGACCTTAGTCAGACACCCAGAGCCCTGCCAAGCCCTGGAACTGAGAGTCATTGGTTCACTACTGTAGTTATTGGAGCAGCAGGGGCTGGTGGGTATGGCCTGGGCTTCACCTTCTTTGCCCTTGGCCTGGTCATCACTTCTGTCCAAGTGGCCCATGTAAGGAGGACAGATTGTAATGGGATGATGGGACATTTGTTCTAGAAAATCAGAATGTGGAGTGTTGGTGCCTCTGGCTCACAACCCTGGCTGCACATTGCAATCTCGAGAGGATCTTTCAAAAAACAATTCTGATGTCTTGTCCCACTTCCAGAGAGTCCCACTTCCAGAGATTCTGATGTAATTGATTGGATGTGGGACCCTGACACTGGGATTTTTTTCCTTAAACTTTTTAAAATGAGAGATTAACCTAAATCCAATAGACTTCAATGATCTTAAGTGTACAGTTCAATGAATTCTTTCTTATTGTACACGCATGTGTAAGCACATCCAGTTGAAGATATATAGCATTTCCAGGACCCTAGAAAGTTCCCTCATGCCCCCTCCCAATCAATGATCCCCCCAGACACAATCACTATTCTGACATCATCAGTGAACTCTGCTAGGCATCAGTCTTAAAAAGAAAATCTCCATGTAATTCTCTTGTGCAAACAGAGGCAAGAACCACTAGTCAGTTTATCGGTGACAGACGGGACTTATTCAGGTCACACTGCAAGTTAGTTAATAGTGAACCTGGGATTTGAACCAGGGTTTCCAGTCTCTGACATATTCCATGCACGTCCCTGGGGAGGGATGAATGGAAAGCCATCAAGTCCAGTCCCCTGCCCTTAACATGTTAGTCAAGCCTGCAGGGCTGGGAGAGCATCTGGGTGCTCTGAGCCTGAGGGTGGCTCAGATCTTCCTAGAGGTTACAGGAGCCCAACACCTCCCCCCCAATCCTGGGTCACCCAGCTCTGACTCCATCAGGGCTATGCCCTTGCAGATCTGGATGAGCCAGTGCTGACGGTGCATCAGACGGTGAGCGATGTTCGAGGCAACTTCTACCAAGAGAAGACGGTGTTCCTGCGCTGCACTGTCAACTCCAACCCACCTGCCCGCTTCATCTGGAAGCGGGGCTCCGACACCCTGTCCCACAGCCAGGACAATGGGGTGGACATCTATGAGCCCCTCTACACCCAGGTCAGGATGGGATGCTGGCCTGGTCTCCTCGAGGCCCCCCCCCACACTCTTCTGCCTGTACCCAACAAGGGAGGGGGGCATGGGGACTGAGCCTCATCACCTGGAGCTCTTGGGCTTGCCAGACTCCAGCAGTTCTCTTCTGGCAGAGGCACGCATTCTAGTTGGGCTTCACACAACTCCAATCTGGTGAAATTGGGACAGATCAGAGAGCAGTGGTGGGAACAGGAAGGCCCCCAAGGCAACATGCTCTCCTGGAAGTTTAGGAAAGGCATTCCCAGAGGTAGGCAAGTCCTTTCTACTCACTGCTGGTGGCAGAGTATTGGGAATCCACAGTAGGTGCAGCAGGAGTTGGGAGCAGAGAGATGACTGCTTGTCATAGGCCCCCTGCCATCCCAGGAGATGGTGATGAAACCGTCCTGGGCTTTCAGAGCTCCACATGAGGCTGCAACCTGAGGGCCAGCTCCATGTTTGTGTGGGTTATAAGACAGAGCAAGATTCCCTTCTTACCCCTCCATTTCCCAGAGTGGAGAAACTGAGACCTGGTCCTGGTTAGGGGGCACCTCAGACCCAGAGAAGCCGAGGGAATGGAGAGTGTGACATCCACCCCAGGCTCAGCCTTCCTGGGGATAAATGGTGTGGAGGTTGGGAAAGAGAGGGATTAGAATAGACATTTGCTTTAACCTCTCGTGCTGGGTGAATGTGTGTGGCGACCCAAGCAGACCCCTCACCCCAGTGGTCCACTGCTGCCCAGGGGGAGACCAAGGTCCTGAAGCTGAAGAACCTGCGGCCCCAGGACTACGCCAGCTATACCTGCCAGGTGTCGGTGCGCAATGTGTGCGGCATCCCCGACAAGGCCATCACCTTCCGGCTCACCAACACTACAGGTAAGGGTACTTCCCCACCCATACCCCTGGCCCTGCTGGACTGACTCCCCAACCAGGAGTCACTGCCCCACCCGTGCCCTAGGCATGGCATCACTGGTGCGGCCCCTCCTCCCCTCTGCATGCTCCCTGCCTTCTCTCCTCTTTCCTCCCCCCAGGCCTTCCCCAACTCCCCTGCTTCCCTACCTCCCTCATTCCCCCACATCCAGCCCTGCTTCACAGTCCCCTTAGACCCCACTCATTGTCCTCTTAGCACCGCCAGCCCTGAAGCTGTCTGTGAACGAAACTCTGGTGGTGAACCCCGGGGAGAATGTGACGGTGCAGTGTCTGCTGACAGGCGGTGACCCCCTCCCCCAGCTGCAGTGGTCCCATGGGCCAGGCCCGCTGCCCCTGGGTGCTTTGGCGCTGGGTGGCACCCTCAGCATCCCTTCAGTGCAGGCCCGAGACTCTGGCTACTACAACTGCACAGCCACCAACAATGTGGGCAACCCTGCCAAGAAGACCGTCAACCTGCTGGTGCGATGTACGTGGCTCCTAAGGGGTGGGAGGGAACTCACAGGGCAGATAGGATCCCCATCCTCCAGGAACTGCCAGTGAAATGGGAAAAGAGCATCTGCTTCCCCTTGGTAGGCGAAACACGCTGAGGAGGCACAGTCCACTTTGATTTCCCTGCAATTCAGGTGTCTGCCAGCAGATGGCAGGGCTAAAATTTGTGTAAAGTTTTATTTACAGTTTGCAATCTACGTTTCCAAATGTAACCGCAACAGTCCCACCCAGGAAGGGCTTTGTAAGAAGAAGGAAGGGCTGGTGTTGGTTACCTACATTTTTTTTTTAAATTGAGCAACTGAGGCTGCAGAAAGCTAAACGTGGGTATGCTAGTCTCCAACAGAAACTTCCTGACTTTCTTCCTATATAATGGTTTCTAGATGATTAAGGAAATTAAAGTGAAAATAACACACATTTCCACATACCTTATATGTAAATCTTTATCAACATTCATTTCTATGAATCTGAAGATGATAACCAAATGTAAAAATGATACAAAACTTGGAGCATGATTAAAGAAATACACTTTCCTTACTAAACTTCAGCCTCACTAGTTAACATTACCTGCTCAATATGATCGTGATTTTGCCACTCTGCTTAAAAGAGGAGAGTTTACATTCTCTCATTTGTTCAACTTTAGGATATTGTATATTAATTAAATACAACATCTGTCAAATTCAATTAAGAGTCTTCTTATGAAATGGACTATGTTCATCTCTCATCCACCTGTCCCTGACCTTCTTCACCAAAAGGAAATACTTCCCTATGACTTTTTACTTAATGGGGGCGAGAAAGAAAGTAGTCAGATTTTTGTCTCTGATGACTACCTTTTCCTTTGGTGGTACTTTTCCCATCAGATTATTTTTCTCCACCTGATTCCATTTGGCCTTTACAATCTGGGTTGATGGCATTGGCATTTCTATCAAATACTTATGGTCACCTCTTAGGGTGATATCCAACCTGCTTTGCCGGGCAGATTTACGGCTGCTGTGCCACTGTTCAGTCCAGTTAGCACCCAACATTAAGTCTTCTCTTGGATTACATCAAATAATATTCAGATTTTTAAGAGGCTAGACTTAAAACTTTTGCAAACTTGTGTTTTTATATAAGTACATGTAAAATAATATTATTTTTATTATGAAATATCACAGACTTTAAAATTGAGCAGACTGGTTGTCAAGAGTCAAACAGGGATAAAATGTGCAAATCAAAATTTCCCCTTCAGGGTCCTCCCCTGGTGGTGCAGGCGGTTGAGCACAGCGCTGTGAAGCTGTCCGCAGTTTCTGCAGTGCCAGTTCGATCCTGGCCAGCCGGTGAGGGTCCCACATGGTGCGGCAGACCTCTCCTGTCACACCCGCTGCTCCCCTCAGCAGTGTATTTTGTCAGTCTGCCTGTTTTGTTCCCCGCACTGTCTCTGGTGAATCCTCTCACGCTCCCGCACATCTGGTCTGTATCCCGGTTCTTGTATAAATAAAAAATAAATCTTTAAAAAAAAAATTTCCCCTTCAGTTTCACTCTCCAGGCAGAACCGCTGTGACCTTCTGTGGCATCTTTCCAAAATTTGTATTTTGCATGTTCAAGGTTTAAAGCAACAATAAAAATAAAACAGTGTAGTGGGTAAGAGAGTAGGCTGAGTTTGAATTCAAGGTTTGCTACTCCTCTGGGTAAGTTAATTAGCTGGTCTGAGCCTCAGTTCCCTCCTTTGTAAGATGGGGACAATAGAGTGCCTCCCTCAAGGAGAGTGGGATGGGTTAAATGAGTAAACCTATGCAAAGTGCTTAGAACAGTGCCTCTCACATAGTGTGTGTTCAGTCAGTAGTAACTGTAATTATTTCTAATGCCATTTTTCTATTTGGAAATGCAACTGAGAAAAGAGAACAATTTCCAAGCCAAGAAAATAAATTAATGTTTCCCCCCCCGGGGGGCAAAGGGGTTGTGACCCCCACCTTCCAGGAGGGCCAGGTCGAGGGAATGAACTAGATTTGGCAAGGGATGGGTCATACCCTCCCTCCCCACCAATTTTGGTCCAGCTCCAGCCACCCTTCCCTTCCCATCCGCCTATAGCCATGAAGAACGCCACATTCCAGATCACCCCAGACGTGATCAAAGAGAGCGAGAATATACAGCTGGGCCAGGACCTGAAGCTGTCATGCCACGTGGATGCAGTACCCCAGGAGAAGGTGACCTACCAGTGGTTCAAGAATGGCAAGCCAGCACGCATGTCCAAGAGGCTGCTGGTGACCCGAAATGACCCCGAGTTGCCTGCTGTCACTAGCAGCCTGGAACTCATTGACCTGCACTTCAGCGACTATGGCACCTACCTGTGTGTGGCTTCCTTCCCAGGGGCACCTGTGCCCGACCTCAGCGTGGAGGTTAACATCTCCTCCGAGACAGGTAGGCAGCTGAGGGGTTTTGTGAAGATATGAGGAAACTGGAGAGACTCATGGAGGGGAGGTGGGGGCAGCAGTTTGAGAACAAACGGAGGTCACCATTTGCTCATGCCACACACATTTATTAAGTGCCTATTTTATGTCAGGCACTGTATTAGGTGCTGGGTTAGAATGGTGGGTAAAGCAGGACTGCCTTCATTGAACTTATAGGAAAGTAGATATTTTTCATATATCTCATAAATCAACATATCATGGCAAACTATAATACATGAGGGTCAGGAAAGAATCTGTGGCCTGGCATATGAAAGAGGAGCAGGAGTTTACTAGCAAAGGAAAGCAAGGGAGAGTGGAAGAGAAAGGCAAGCCAAATAATCAGCCTGTGCAAAGGCACTGAGGCAGGAGATTGTGTGGACTATTTTGAGAAATGTAGGAAGGAGAGTGTGGCTGGGAGAAGGGAGTGAGAGTAGAGGTTGACAGGGGCCAGATTATGCCGGGGATTTGGGCTTTAGTCCAATAATACAAATAATAATGGAATAAAATGGCTAACATTTATTGAGTATTTACTATGTGGGATTTCATATTTATCTCATTTGTCTCCATGATTTGCCTTATAAGGTAAATCAATTTATTTTCTAATTTTAAAGATGAAGAAACGTACCCAAGGTAGCACAATAATAAATGGGGGAGCTGCCATTCAAACCCAGGCAGTCTGACTTCAGGGCCTGTCCTCAGCAGTCCCCTCTCTCCCCCACCTTGAAAGGTTTACTCTGAGGATGACAAGAGCTTGGAGGGAACGACTTTGGGGAGGGCCTCTAGAATCTCATCTCCAGCCCTAGCACCTTGCACTTAGGAGCTACCTAACTTTGGCTATGCTTCTTCAACTCTGTGGGCCTCAGCTTCTCCATGAAAGACTGAGCTGGATAGCCTTGGAGATCACTCTCATCCTGACAGCTGCACAAGGAGAGGCCAGGTGAAGCTGCAGGAGTCAGGAAAGGCTTCCAGAAGAGTGACTTGGGGTAGGGTTTGGGAGTGAACCAGGCCCCCACAGAATCCTCAAACCCATTCTTCAAGTCTCTTTGTGCCAGGCCCTGTGTAAAAAGCTTGTGACTGAGATAAAGACACCACAGACTCATCCTCAGAGTTTCGTCCCTAGCTAGGGAGACAGATCTGTTGGGAAAAGATGGGGTAAGGCAGGAAATGGAAGGGCAACCCTTGGAAGTAGGATACAGGGGTTAAAGGTGGGTCTGCAGAGCATCCTGGGAACACTAGAGGAAGACCAGCTGCCTGGGGGCGCCAGGAAAGGCCTGTCGGAGGAGGCTTTTCTCTTTGTGAGCATTTGCTGGGTAGGGGAACTAGCCCAGGAGAGAACAGATAGAGGGCCCCCAAGGTATATGAGACTAGCATGTCCAGGGAGTGTGTTCCTTACAAGTGGATCTCATGGCTGGGACATGGGATGGGAGAATGAAGACAAGGCTGGGGGTGGCAGAGGTCATAGCATGAGGGCCTTGTTTGCAGAACCAAGGAGGTTTTAACCTGAAGGCCTTGTGGCTTCAGGCAAGAGATTGGGGGGTGGGGAGATTCAGAAGCGTTGGGAGCTGTGATGTTTTAGAAATAGGACAACCAATAGGGCACAGGGCCATTTCCTCTATTTGGCTCATAGATCTGATCCCTAGGGCATGAACACATTTTAAGGATTTGTGGAAATGGTTTAGATCTGGAAAAATAAACTAATTGGTGCCAAAATACAAAGAAAAAACTGCAAAATTAAAGCCAATGAATGTGTATGTGTTTACAGAATATAAATTATAGCCTAAATATCAATATGAATAGCTAGCTAAATAGCTGGGCCTTTATTGTCTTGTCTTACAAGTTATATTTAATATGAGATATTTAAATTTGTTGGATGTAATGTAGAATGGGACCCACTGAAGTCTTTCAAAGACCTTCTATTTGGGTGATGTGTTGGGTTGGATTCTGTTTGGCTGTGAATAACAGAAGAATCCTATATAATAGTGATTTCATCACACTTGATGTGTATTTCTTTACGTAAAAGTGAGCAGTCCAGCCTGGAACAGCAACTGTGCTCCACCAAGTTCTCCAGGCCCCAGGCCCCACCTTGTCTTGTTATTCTGTATCCTCAGTACCTGCCAGTTGCAGCTGCATTCCAGCCTGGGGAGAAATCAGAGCGCGTACCTCTCCCTTAAAAGATCCTTATTTTCCTTCACATCTCATGGGCCAGAATTTAGTCACATGACCATAATGCACGTTGAGTGAGATGTTCTTTAGTCTGATTGTGTGCCTTGCTAAAAACCAGATATTCTATTACTTTGGAAGAGTCAGAATTTTGGGAGACAGGCTCTCTGTTTGTGATTACACTCCAAGAAGAAGGTGGAGGGCAGACCCAGTGTGCAGCAGAGAGGGGTTTGAGAGGAGAGATTAGTAGAACTGTTTAAAAAGTGGAATCCTCAACATCAGTAATACTGGGATAAGGTCAAAGAAGGAGTAAACCAGGACAACTTCAGCTGTCTTTCTTAACTGGGAGACTAAGAAGTAAAGACCCAAGAGGTGGAGGAGGATTTGGGGAGGTGGGTTCTGCTTTGGAGATACTGAAGGTTCTATAGGGAACACCTTGGGGTGAGAAGGGAGGCTGGAACACAGGGGGAGAGAATTAGAAGCCCAAGAGCAGAAGCTACGGAGGAGCTCTAACCCCTCCCCTACCGCTCCCCCCACCTCCTGCAGTGCCGCCCACCATCAGCGTGCCCAAGGGCAGGGCAGTAGTGACTGTGCGCGAGGGCTCACCCACCGAGTTGCAGTGCGAGGTGCGGGGCAAGCCGCGGCCGCCTGTGCTGTGGTCCCGGGTGGATAAGGAGGCTGCGCTGCTGCCCTCGGGGCTGCCCCTGGAAGAGACTCCCGACGGGAAGCTGCGGCTGGAGCGGGTGAGCCGCGACATGAGTGGGACCTACCGCTGCCAGACCGCTCGCTACAATGGCTTCAACGTCCGTTCCCGTGAGGCCCAGGTGCAGCTGAACGTGCAGTGTGAGTCCCATCGCCCCAACTTTTGAGCGATCCATCAGGGTTCCCAGCCAGGCTTGCCCCTAGTCACCTCTTCACCGACCTCAGTCCAACCAAACCCCCTCACCTACTGCTGGTATCTCTGCTCCTTAACACCTCCGTGCCCTAAGACATGGAGGTCTGTGGCCTTGGACTTGCTCCCACCATCAAGTGTCTCACCATCTTCATTCCCAGGGACCCAGTGAGCGAAGGCATAATCTGGACAGGTGGAAATGGGGGTTTGAAGGAGGAGGAAGGACAGTCAAGGGGAACACGTTGTGTCTGCTTGTGTAACCATGAGTAATCGTGTGCTGACCCTGTTCTAAGAGCATTTCAAGGCACCAATTCATTTACCTTCCGTAGCTTTATGAAGAGTTCATATACATATAGGGAAACCGAGTCACAGAGAAGTAATTTGATTAAGATCTCCCGGTTAGACAGAAGCAGAACTGAGATTTGAGCCTTAAACCACCTAGCTCCAGGAAACCACCTCTAAACCCCACCATTAAGCTGCTCTTCTTGGGGATGGGAGTAAGGGGACCGCTTAAGGCAAGCACAGAGGCTTGGGAAGCGTGGCTGAAGGGAATGCCCGGAGGGAATTGCAGATCTGGGAGGCATGAGTGTGGCGATCTTGAGTGTGTTTCGAGTGTGTATTTGCCCTGAAATGCTTCCAGGCTGGGGGTCACGGGAGTGGGGGCTAGTGAGTCGTCTCTCGGCGGGGAGAGGGGGGCAGCTGTCAGAACCCTGGGGGGGGGGGGAGGCCCTGCTGACCGCCGCCCCCGCCCCTAGTCCCTCCGGAGGTGGAGCCTAGCTCTCAGGACGTGCGCCAGGCGCTGGGCCGGCCCGTGCTCCTGCGCTGCTCGCTGCTCCGAGGCAGCCCCCAGCGCATCGCCTCGGCCGTGTGGCGCTTCAAAGGGCAGCTGCTGCCGCCGCCGCCCGCCATCCCGGTTGCAGCCGAGGCCCCCGACCACTCCGAGCTGCGCCTCGACGCCGTCACCCGCGAGAGCAGCGGCAGTTACGAGTGCAGCGTCTCCAACGACGTGGGCTCCGCCGCCTGCCTCTTCCAGGTCTCGGGTGAGCATCCGGTCGGTCCTTCCCCGCTCAACTAAGCTCGCAGCGAGGACCAGACTCCGCCCCGACTCCGACTCTGCCCACCCTCGGCCTGGGCTGCGCCCCTTTGCAGCCCACCTACACCTGCGCTAAGCCCCGCCCCCTTTAGCTCAGCCCTCTTCCTTGACCTCTGACAACCCTACCCCTTGCAAACCCCTCCTCGGTTAAGCCTCGGTTTCACCTCTCTCGTCCTGCGGGCGCAGGGTCCTGTCCTTTGGCAGCACATTCACGCGGCGCCGAGCCCCGCCCGCCCACCTGAGGCACACCCTCCAGTTACGTCCAGTCCGGGCTCTTGGCTTCAGGCCCCGCCCGACGACGGCACCTGTAGCCACGCCCACCAATCCCCGGGCCCCGCCCCATATCCGCTTTCAGGCTTCCAGCCCCTCCTGCTCCGCCCTTGACCCCAGAGATTTAGGACTGAGACGCCTCTCTTTCCGCTTCCCCGGTCCCAAAGAAGGGGCCTGAGCTGCAGCTCAGAGGAGAGAAGACGGCCCTGAACCGCTTCTCTGGAATGGCCTGAGGGGCGCTGGGCCAGCTAGCGCACCTTTCCCGAGCTGTCCCCCAAGAAGCCCAAGCTCCTTGGTGCCCAGGATTCCCTCTCAGCCCCATCTCTCCAAGTCATTCCCCGGTGGGCTGATTGGGGCTTCAGAAAGGGGTGCAGGTCGTGGTCAGATGGAGGGGACGGAGGGAGGCTGATGGAGTTACTGACGCCCCTTTCTCTTCTTCCATTTGGGGAGAGCCGGCTCCCTGTCAGAGCTGGTGGCAGTGCCCCAGGAAGAGAGCCCCACCGTGCTTGTTGCCTCTTCCACCGCACCCCCAGCTCTCCCAGCAGCCCCCAAGCGCCTGGGGCACCTGTAGCTCTTGTTTGGATCGCCTTACTCAGCAGCAGGGGCCAGGACCCCAGCACTGGCCGCCTCCCCAGCCCCTCCACACCCCACCCAGCCCTACCAGCTAGAAGCCCCTGTGACATTTCCCACCTCCTCCCCTCTCCCCTCTTCTCCCACACTCTCCCTGTCTCCCCACCTCTTTGCCTCTCCATTCCTCTCTTCTCATCCTTTCTTCAATATCCTTGACTTCTCCTGTCTTTTCTCCAATCCTCTTTCCCTGTATCTTTCTAACATTTCTTTTCTGTCTCCCCCAAATTCCCTTTCCTCTACCTTTGCCTTGCCTCTGTTCTCGCCAATACACCTCCCGGAATTCCCCATCTCCCGCCTCCCCACCCCACCCTCATTCTCCCCAATCGCCTCTTCTCACACCATCTCTCCTCACAATATTTCCTTTCTCTTTGTCTCCCCATACCCTCTCTCTGTCCCACCCTCTTCGGTCTCCCTCTCTGGTGCCTCCTCTCTCTGTGTCTCTCCCCACCCCTCTCCCTCCACGGCCCCATGCCCCCCATCCCCACCCTCTCAGCCAAAGCCTACAGCCCGGAGTTTTACTTCGACACCCCCAACCCCACCCGCAGCCACAAGCTGTCCAAGAACTACTCCTACGTGCTGCAGTGGACCCAGAGGGAGCCTGACGCTGTCGACCCTGTGCTCAACTACAGACTCAGTGTCCGCCAGGTGGGCCGAGGGCTGGGGTGGGAGGCACGGGCCGGGTGCAGGCTGACCCTGGGAATGCTCATCAAGCCAGGGGGAGAGGTTGGAGACAGCGCTTGCACCCCTTGACCCTCTTAGAGACAACACTTCAGAGTGAGAAAGAACGTGTCCTGTCCACAGCAGCAGGAGCTAGGGTCACTGGGGACCTGTCCTTTCTGGGCCCATGCTCTGAGCACAGCCTGAGACTTGGGCAAGAGTCTGCTGGGTTCATGGGAGGAGGAAGGGGGCAGAGCCAGCTCTGCTCACACACTACAATATACTTCCCTTGGTCAGGAGTTTAAGGCTGGAGCTTTGTCTTCTCCCCAGGGTCTCTAGAATGCGAGACGAGAGCCATTATGCTGGCCTTGTGTCCAGCCTTATTTTCTGTGATTCTGCCAGTGCAAGGGGTAGTTGGTATGGAGATTAAGGGTGTGGCTCTAGGGCAGACTGCCTAACCCAGGAGCCAGCTCTGGATGACCTGGGGCAAGCTCCATCTGTTTGGCCTCAGTTTCCTCATCTGTAAAATGAAGGTAATTATAATATTCTACTTTATGGGATTATTATTTGGGGGGAAAAGGAGTTAATAATTGCAAAGCACTAGGATAGTACCCAGCACATGTTAATTGCACTGGATGTTTTGCCATCGCTTTTTATTAAGATCACCCAGGCAGGTAGGCATGGAAGGGATAATGGCTCTCCCAAATGAGGAAACTGGGGGCCTGGCTTCTTGATTCATTGCTTTCTCTGCTCCCTGAAGCTGCCCCCCAAGTCACGCCAGGGCCTGAGATGATGCTCTGGTGGAGGGTGTGGCCTGTTTGCCTCTGACAACTCCCTGTATCTACAGTTGAATCAGCACAATGCCATGGTGAAGGCCATCCCAGTGCGGCGTGTGGAGAAAGGGCAGCTGCTGGAGTACATTCTGACTGACCTCCGCGTGCCTCATAGCTACGAGGTCCGCCTCACGCCCTACACTACCTTCGGGGCCGGGGACATGGCCTCCCGAATCATCCACTATACTGAGCGTAGGTGGCGATGGGAGGGTGGGAAGGGTGGGTCCATCTCATGCCCCAGGGGTGCCTCCACCCTGCCCATATGGTTCCTGAGCTTGGGGTTTCCCACCGTGCAGTGTCCCACACTATCACTGCAGGCCAGGCCCCGCTAGCCCCCCTGTCCTGACTCTGGGCACCCTGCCTTTGGTCCCAAAACCCTGGCTCTCCCTGCAAACCCCATTTGGTTTCATTCTGACGTGGTTTTCCTGCTTTTTTTTCCTCAGCCATCAACTCTCCCAACCTGTCAGGTGAGATATCCCCCCACCCACTTCTCCTTCCTTTTAGGGACACAAAGCCTTCCTTGGTGGAGGAATGGCCCCCTAGAGATTCCTGGAGAGAATGGGGTGCCGGCCAGCAGCTGCAAGGAGAAGCAGAAGGCAGCAGGGCTGGGTTCAGAGATATTTGCATCCAGTATTTTTTCTGGGGCTTAAATATAGGTGAGGGTTTTTAGGGAGTGGAGAAGTGATGTCCGGGACCCTGTCATCCTAACTTGGGCCCTGTCATCCTCACTCTGCACCAATCACTGTCCCCCAAAGAAAAATAGAGGCCAATCCTTATCTTCTGTTCCCTGGGGTAGGAGTCCCTCAATGAAATCATGGCCCCCAAAAGATGTGTGTACAGAATTCAGGGAGCCCATGAACTTGAAACCTGGAAGGGCATACAATTACTTCTTTATTTTTCCTGATCTGTAGCAGAAATTTAACATGTGCTTCAGTGATGAATGCAGGCAGCATACCACAGAATTATACTCCGTCCCCGTGACTGTCTTCAGCAGAAATCCGATGTTTCCCCATCACCTTAAAGTTGTTGCAACCGTCTCTAAATATCATTTACATTCATTAGTTTCTCAAAACTCTGGCCATTATTAGACCTAACACTAGATCTTGTGATTTAATTAGATAATGGAGAAGCCCACTTATTATTATATGAAAAATTTGTTTTTTAAGTACTTTGAAAGCTATGTTGCAACATAATTGATTTCCTTGTGTATTTCACCGTGTACATCTAAAATCATTATTCTGAGTTGGAGTCTGTAACTGCACTAGCTGCCAGAAGGGTCTGTGGCACAAATTAGTTAAGCAGTGCTGTTCCAGAAATGAATTTATCAGGGTCTCCATTGCCTGGTTTCACGAGTGCTGATGGCTTAGGTGCTTGGGAGCTGCCTCAGAGGTGGCCAGGAGGGCAGAACTGGACCAGGGGACCTAAGCAGGCTGACCCTCTTTGTCTCACCCCTATGCCTCACCCAATGCAGACAACACCTGTCACTTTGAGGATGAGAAGATATGTGGCTACACCCAAGATCTGACAGACAACTTTGACTGGACGCGGCAGAATGCCCTCACTCAGAACCCCAAGCGCTCCCCTAACACCGGGCCCCCCACTGACATCAGCGGCACTCCTGAGGGTGAGGACTTGGCCTGCTATATTTAGAATGGAGGACAGCTTCAGGGGCCTATTGCCTGGGATCTATGTCTAGTCTAAGGGCAGAGGCACAGTCCTGCCCTTAGAGAGCCCCAGTTTGAGGGGGAAGATGGTTCTGCCCTGACACAGTGTCAGGACGAAGAGGAGCTGCAGCAACGCTAAGAACTAAGCCAAGAACATTGACCTGGACTTCTGTTTTGGGAAGCAGGGAGGACAGGGTGGGATAGGGTAAGGCTGGGATTCAGACAGCTGGGGCTAAGGTAGAGAAGGAATTGGGTGGAAAGAGGCCCAGGTGGGGTGAGGTATCCCTGTTGGCACATCTCCCCTCCCCTATAGGCTACTACATGTTCATTGAGACATCAAGACCGCGGGAGCTGGGGGACCGAGCCCGGTTGGTGAGCCCCCTGTACAATGCCAGCGCCAAGTTCTACTGCGTCTCCTTCTTCTACCACATGTATGGAAAACACATTGGTGAGTTGGGAGGCCAGCTAATCTGCCCCCAGTGTGTGCTGGGGCAGGGAGGCGAGAGGCCTTCTACAGGAGGTGAGGGACTGGGTTCCCAACTCAGCTGAATCACAGATCCTTGGAGGGCTGTGGAGAGGGGGCAGGGAGGAGTCCAGAGCCAGCACTACTGAGGTTTGATATAGCCTGAGTCTGCAAAGAAAATGGCTCCAGCAGGATGTGCTGGAAGTCTTGGAGGGGGTAGAGAAAAACAGCCAAGAAGCTACATGGATTGAACTCCTTTAGGGGGTGGGGGCATCTGATGTACCGCACGTGGTACATCTGGGGTCTCCTTAATCCTCACAACCACCAGGCGGAGGAGGAGTTACCATATACGTTGTGGAGGTTAAGCATTTGCCCAAGACCGCATAGCACATTGCAACCCAATTCTGTCTGATTCCCCCAAGCTCATGAAGGGTGCTGTGACATGAGCTGTGAGAGTGTGGGTGTGAACCTTTGGGAAGAGATGGCACTGGTAGGGGTGCCATCTATCAATGGCAGCCGTCACTCCCGAGCCCCTGCCCTGTGCCAGGCACAAGGGACAAGCTACTGTCCTCTTGGCACCTTGGGAGAGATGGACATTAACCCCAAGTTGAACTGTGACAAGTCATGTCCACAGCAGAAGGAAGGGGACAGCACGGCTGGTAACAGGGAGACCTCTGGGGAACTGGCTAGGGAAGACTCCACTAGCCAGGAAATGACCATTTAAAAATTATTTATGTACTCATTTCTTAATTTATGGGAAAGGTAATATATTTTGCATAGGTCAAAAGGTAATGGAAGTGCTGTCCCACCCTGCTCCTGCCATCTAGACCCCTTCCCTAGAGGCCATCACAGTGTCAGAGTTTTGGGGCAACTTCCCAGAAGTACTTTATGCATATAGAAGCCAGCACATATGTGTTCTATTTCCCCCATCTTATACACGCTGTTCTGCCTCCTGTTTGTCTCTGTATGTGTTTCCAGTCATGCCTTATCAGACCACAAAACTTCATTGTGTCTCTGGATTAGACAGGAGAGGAAGTGATGTTCATTTAGAATGAATCTAACGGCTCATTATGGAGAAAACACCACTGCTCACAGGATAGGTCAAGCTGACCTGCTCAGCTAAAATGGGATGGGATGGAAAGTTTGCATCCAGGGGCCCCAGACCATCCACACAAACCAGTTTGCCTGTGGCCGGGTCTGGAGTTCAAGAGAAGCCTTCCCTGGGATAGGTGAGGGCTCCCCAGCTCTCTTGTTTCCAGCCCATGCAAACTAACTCTGGTTAACCCTAGTTTTAGCACTAAAGAGTCCCATGTCTCAGGCAAACCAGGACAGTTGGCCATTTTCCCCCCAAGTCAGGAATGACACTGGGGCCTTAGCTGCCAAGAGGAGTCTGCTGGGTCTAGTAAGGCCCCTGGAGATCAGGCCTTATGAGCCGGGATGCTGGATACCTGGGAATGGAGACTGCCCTGGGGAGCCAGAGTTTCTGCCATGTTCCCCTTAGAACAAATACCAGTAAAATTTTCTGGAAGGAAGATTTGAGTTCAACCTATGGAAGACCCTGAAAGTATCAGAGCAAAGGAATGGGCTATCCTGTCCCTGGCCTGGAGACCTGTCCTGCAGGGATGCTGTGGGAGGGACTGTTTCAGTCCCCTTCCATTGCCATCTTCTCTAGCCCTCCTATACCTAATCCCACCCTGCCTGCTTCTCTGACTTCATTTTCTACCCCTGTAGAAAATGCCCTGTTCTGCTAGCACCCGACTGGCTCCAGCACACTGGTCTCCTTGCTTTTCTTTAAATACTAGAGTATTTAAATACTTTACTTTTCTTTAAATACAATCCCTACCTTCAAGACCTTTGCTCATGGTGTTCCCCCAGCCTAGAATGTTCTTCCCTTGCCCACATTCATGTCTCCTTAGCAAACACCTCTAAATTATCTCTCTATCCCTTTTCCTGTATGATTTGCTCTGTAATGCTTACTGCCAATAGAGTGTAAGCACCAAGAGGGCCAGGGTCTCTGTCTTACCTACCGATGTATCTCTAGAGTCTAGGACAGTGCCTGGCATACAGTGGTGCTCGAATAGTTGAGTGAATGGATGACTGGATGAATGAATGATAGGGAGGGCTGGATGAACTGTGAGGTAACTTCTAACTCTGAGATTCTATGAAAATCTTTGATGGTAGCCATGGAAAGTCTTAATTTGTTAGTTGACTATTGAGAACCAATAGCAATTTGACTCAGACATTCCCTCTAGGAGTCAAATAAGGAGAAGACATAAATTCTAGTAACTGACACAAGGCAGAGCAAAGGGTAGTTTGGGCCTCAGGGGCTATTGTAAAAAGACTGAGTCCACAGGAAGCATAGAAGGCTTCTAACTCCTGCCTGGGAAGACTTCTTGGAGGAGGTCATATTTCAGAGAGCCTTGAAGGATGAGAAGGAGTTGGCCAGGGGAACACGGTAGGGGAAGCCATGCCAAGCAGGGGGGCAGTTTGAGCAAAAGCCCAGAGGCAGGGAAGCTGGAGCACATCCAGGCTCCAGCATGTCATTAGGTTTGGCTTTGAAGGTGAAAAGGAAGATGGGGAAGAATGTAGTGAGCAAGCCTGTTGTTAGGAGAGGCTGAATTTCTTGAATGCTCACCAGGGCTGACTCTGGTGACAGGCTGTCAGGAAGCCCTGAGCAGGGAAATCCGGCAGCCGATGGGATGGATGCTCAGGGAAGGGCAGAAATTCAAATTTTTGTTTGAGCAGTGAAAAGCTGGGGTTCCCCCTTTATGGTCCTTGGGTCAGGATGGTAGAGGAGGAAGAAGAAGAATTGAGGGAATTGAGGCTAGATTTTAGGGGGTTGGAGCAGGGGGGAAGAGAGCAGACTCTGAATTGGGCCCTTGCTGAAGCCATCATGGCACCTCCGGGCTACTCTGGGCACCTTGGGGGTGCCTGCAGCACTCTCATGACCCCATCTGCTGGTGAGGGTCCCCCACCCCAGCCTGGACCTGCTGCTAGGGAAGGGGTGTCTCTTGCTGTCCTGCCCCTCCTCTCCGCACCCCTCACACCCCTCCTGGCAGCTCTGGGCACCAGCTGTCCCCAGACCTTGTGTCTGCTGGCTCTCCTTGATCCAAGCCAACTCCTTTCATCTCAGCAGGTAACATTTGGTGGCTCTCCCCCACCAGGGGCCTATCTGGTATCACAGATGGTGTGGCTTTGTCTATGGGCAGCGCCATGGAAATGCCAGCCACCAGGCACTGTCTAAGATTGATTCCTCTTCCCTCCCACCCAGAGCATTCGTGTCAAGGGGGTTTGAGGTGGGCTGGAAGAGCCAGGGAGGGGACATGGTATTGGCTGTCTCAGTTAGCTAAGCCATGATCCCCTCCCTCTCTTCCAGTCCCCTCAGTACCTCCAGAATTCTAGAGCCCTGTGGCTGTGGGAAAATGGGCTAAGCACCCACAGGCTAATGCCACCAAAATTGCATTGTTGCTGTTTTTATACTATTTTTAGCACATATATAAATACCTTTCTTTAACTCAACTTACTCTTTTTTTCTTAGCTTTGTTCTAAGCATCAATGTTAGAGAAATTGTGGGTTTAGAGAGCTAGCTAGGCACCTCTTAAAACACACATAGAAGTGTGTTTTCAATTCAAAAAAATTTAAAGTCCATTTCTGAGCATCCAGAAGCCATCCATGCGTCGTGTCCTACCAGGCATTGCATTTTGTGCTTTGGGAATCGTGTTCCTTGTTCAGGCACAGGCCCCACTACCCTGAGACAGTTCCCTTCTCGAGGGGAAAGGTTGGGATCTGGGGGGAGGGAAGGGAGGTCAGGGGGTAGGCTGGGGAGGGATTAACTGATTAGGAAGGAAGGAAAGAAATGAAAGAAAATGTGCAAATTATCCTGATGAACTAAGTCTTGCTGCTGCCTCTGTCTTTCCCATGTTGGGGTTCCCCTGGGACACTGGACTAGTCTGGGATTGGGGAGAAGGTCCTGTCCAGTAGGGGCAGTGGGAGGGGAGGGGCTTGGTGAATGAGGACGGATGGGGTGCCCTTGTCTAGACCTCACTGCCCCTCTCTCCTCAAACCTACACAGGCTCCCTCAACCTCCTGGTGCGGACCCGGAACAGAGGGGCCCTGGACACACACGCCTGGACCCTCAGCGGCAATAAGGGCAACGTGTGGCAGCAGGCGCATGTGCCCATCAACCCCAGCGGGCCCTTCCAGGTGAGTGAGCCTCTGAAGGCTCTCCCAGCCCCTGGGGGATTGTTCTGGTCAGGAAAAAGGTAGGAAGGCCTCGTGCTTGTTCCTGGGAGCTGAGGAAAGGTGGGGACCCCTAGGTAGATTGAGGGGAAGGGGACCTTCGGTGCCCACAGAACTTCCCTAACCCTTGCTCCCTGCTCTCTGACCCTACCCCAGATTATTTTTGAGGGGGTTCGAGGCTCTGGCTACCTAGGGGATATCGCGATAGATGACGTCACGCTGAAGAAGGGAGAGTGTCCCCGGAAGCAGATGGATCCCAATAAAGGTGCAAGATGGGAAGGGAGTGGAGGCACCTGGCCTGTGGCGGGCAGTGTGGGTGGCATCTTTCTGTGTCGGGGAGTTCTAGGGTTTCTGGGATGCTTATATCTGTGAGAGTGTGAACACTTGAGACCCCTGGCTCCAGCTATGGAGCCATGAAAAGACCATAGAGCCCTTCTGCGAGCTTACTGAGTTATTTATACAAAGTGCCTCAGGCCTGTGTCTGAACACGTGTCTGGTATGTCTGGTATGTCCAGATGTGAACATGCCCCGTCCCCACCCCCAAGGCCAGGTATTTCCAGCGATAACAATTCGAGTTTACTGAGCTGTTACCAGTGTATGTCTGGTCTCTAATCTTCACAGTGGTCTTTGAGGCTCTTGCTTACAGTTAGAATCATTTTACAGATGAGGAAGCTGAGGCCCACCGAGGTTGAGTAAATTGCCCGTGTCTTAGTGAGCCGAAGAGCCAGGATCTGGAGCCCAGCAGGCCAAGTTAACCTCCAACCACGCACCTCACATCTGTGCTTATAAGTGTGTCTGATGAGCATTGATGGCAGTATCCACCCTCAGCCCCCCACCCTACCCCGAAAGAGAGAAGGGAGAGTAACCCGCCAGCCTATGACCTGCCTGCCTGCCTGCTACTCCCTGGGCCTGCCGAGCTGACGAGAGCCCTGGCCTGTCTCCCTTCTCTCTCCCATCGCAGTGGTGGTGATGCCGGGCAGTGGAGCCCCCTGCCAGCCCCGCCTGCGGTTCTGGGGGCCCATGGCCATCTTCCTCCTGGCGTTGCAGAGATGATGAGAGCTGCGTGGCCCCTACCCCGCCCCCGGCACACCAAAGTGTCCGCATCGTACCAAAGACTGACCCCCGCCAGCTGGGGTGCCCAGGGGCAGGGCTGGCCCACCAGGAGGGGGCTTGCATTGGCTTCAAGGACAAGCAGAGGACAAGGACGGAGGCCCAGCACTAAGGCCCTGGGGACGGTCGTTCGACACACGCACACACTCACACACCCACACTCACACACACAGAGATATATTAAAGCACAAGTTTCTATCCAACCTGCCAGCACCTTCTTTACTGCGGAGACAGGGGACTTCGCCCAATTGGCGTCTGCCACCCCAGGACCTTGACACGACCTAGGCCTTGTCCTGGCTGTACCTGTGGCGTGTTTCTGACCTTCCCCTGACCCCAAAGCCCAGTGGCTTTACCAGAAGGGAACCTAAAGAGAAGGATACATGGGGCCCTACCCTTGCTGAACTCGGGGACTCCCTGGGATGAGGGCAGGCGGGACCAGGCAGGACTTTGTGAGTTCTTTGAACGTCCCAGTGTAGGGGACAGCATGGGAGGTGAGACACCTGCTGCATGCCCAGGGTGAGGGCCGGAAGGTAGAGACCCCAGGTCACCCGGACCCCCTAGGTTGTTTCTGGGATGTCATATTCCCCTTCCCTCACTGTGTGCTCTTTGAAGGGACCCAACATAGGGTCTTGAACCTGGGCATTATGAAGATGGACACTTCTCACCATCCTGGCCCACCCCACTGCACCCCACCCTGCAAACTGCTGGATTGCTGAGACCACAGTCCCCTAGTCAGCTGGTAACTTCAGCTCTGAGCTGTGTCTCCAAGGAGCCAGAGACCAGCCTTCTTCTGGGGTGAGGCTTGACTTTGAGAAAGACAGAAGAGAAGTTCTGCCTTTGCAATTTTGTATCCTCATCTCAGATACTGAATTTGGGAGTAGAATGGAGCCTCCATTTCTTATATACTTGGTTTGAAGGTGTTCCTGCATAGGAAGCGGTGGGTAGGGACTGTCCTTGTCCCCCACTGCGAAGCATGGTCTAGTTGATGTTCTCTTCCCTGCCCAGGATCAGTATAGAAGGGGGGCATTATAGAGTTAGAGTGGGGATAGGGTAGTTGGTCACAATGTTCCCTGGGAGCTTTGCGAGGCCTCCCTGTCCTTGGGGCCTGGGGTAAGAGCCTGAGATGGGTGTGACCTCTGTTCCTCAGTATCACCCCTGAGCCCCAACCCAGCTGTCCATGGGGGAGAGAAGGCCCAGCACTCTCCAGGGTGAGTCTTCCTGCGTGTGTGCATGTGGCCCTGTGTCTGTGTGTTTGTGTGTGTCTGTGTGTGTGTCCATCTGTGTCAGTGTGGTGCTGTGGGTGCATCTCTGGGCGCAAGTGGGTGCAGATATGTGTCTGGGTGTGTGACTATTCCCACGTGTCTGAGACCAGGCTGTGCACGAGCTCTGTGAGGGCCTGTGTACGTCAGCATGCATGTCAATATTCATGAGTAACATGAATGTTTATAGGGTGCTGGCCAAATAGACTGCTCCCCGCCCTCCTCTCTGATCTCAAGCCGCCTGCCACCACATGAATTTCTATCTGTCATCCCCTATAGATGACAAAGAGCTTACAGATAACCCTTTTGAAATGTAAGCACTTCAGTGTGGGGGTGTCCCGGCCTTCTCCTGAGCGTTTGGTGGAGACAGATGCAGACACAGGGCAGCAGTGTGATGCCAGGCAGGCAGGGAACCAAAGCAAATGCTGCCCATCTCGCTGCTCTGCCAGGTCTGTGTTATCATCATCAACAGCTGCTGTGTGGCCGGGCCAGGGCTGGAGTGGGGCCTCCTGAAACCCGACCAGTGTGGCTACTTTCCCGGCCCAGGCAGGACCTCTGTCCGAAATGTGTGATCCCAGGTTTACAGAACAGCCTTCTGTTGTGCCTGCTGAGTATTGTTCCCTAATTGTCCCATCTGTGCCGGGTCTGTTGCCCCAACTAGACTGTGAGCTCCTCCTCTGAGCCTTCCAACCCTCTCCCCACCCTCCCCAACCTTGTGCCCAGCACAAGTGGGCATGTTATGGAAATCACTCAGCAGGCTTGGCCCAGCGGAATGAGTTCTAGAAATCCATGGTTCCCAGACCTGGCTGTGGAACAGGACCACCAGAGGGTCTTTTAGAAAGCACCAATGCTGGGGCTCCACCCAGAGTTCCTGATTTAATTGGACTAGAATCAATCTGGCAACAGAAATGTTTAAAAGCATCAGGAAAACCTGAGATGGGAACACTGGCCTCTCAACCTGTGGGGCTTCCTCTGCGGCCTGTCATGTGACTTCTGCATGACTGGACAGCCGGACACAGAGCCCTGTGCCTCCTTTCCTCAAATGGCCTATGAATGTACCCAGAGCCCTGGCTGCTCCATGATGGGAAATGTCTCCCCTGTTCTCCTCCACATCTTTGGTGTATGTTGCTGAGATGAACAGCATACACGTGGCCCCCGAGTTGTTCATCTGTTTGGAGAAGGGGGCATAGTCACATGGGCAGAGAGTGCAAAGTGATGGTGAGACTGACTCGAGGGTGGAGCGGTCTGGATTCACAGTGGCCCGATGAGATGCTGAGTCCCAGGTCCTCGTGCGTGTGTGTGTGTGTGTATGTGTGTGTGTGCATGCGCACATGCACATCAGCGGGTTTGTAGGCAATATGGGTGTCGATGTGTGTAAGCACTCAGTGTGTGATGTGTGTGCCTGGAACTGTGCCACTCTGTGGGACTGAGTGAGTGTCTCTGGTGACGTATGAGCCATCGTTTGTGTATCAGTGAGTCAGCACCTTGGTGCCAGTGTCGCCTGTGCTGGGTGTCTCTGTGCCAGCGCATGTCAGCGCCTGTGTGTTGGTAGGTGGCCTATGAAGAGCCCAGTCCGGGGAGACAAGACTGGCTGGATCCAGTGCATCTCCCCGGTGGCAATCTTCCCCCTGTGTCAGGGTGGCTGAGGCATTTTGTGGCCTTAAAATGAGGAATCCAGGGTCACCCTTCAGTGTCCCTTCACTCTGACCCCCTCCAGGTTGGTTTCTGGAGGAGAAGAAACTCCTGGGGCCAGGTATGTACAGGTAGGAGGAGAGTCTTGTCTTAACTGTCCTTCCTTGGGACCTGGAGGTGCAGGGCTGTCAGCAGACCAAGCTCCTCCTTCTGGGCCCTCCTCACCTCTCTGGGATGGCCCTGGCTCCTCTTTCCATTTTACTTCCCTTTCTCCCTGTGAAAGCCCCTGTCTCGGCTGTGAGTGTGGCGTGGGCCCCAGAGGTCCAGACTCTCATGATGTGATAGGAAAAGTGAAGCCACGAGAGGGCAAGGGACTGACTCAAGGTCACACAAATGGAACCAGCCTTGGAAGCCAGAGCTTATAGCCTTAGGGGTGTCACACCACTGAGCAGAGCCCCTGAGGTCTCCTGCCACAGGCCTGCTCAGACTACCCTGTTGATGGTACAGATGTTGGACACCTGCCCTGGGCTTGGCACCATCTCCTTGCCTCAAATCCTGGATTCTCATCCCAGGTCATTTCTGGGTGCCACCTGAAGGCTGCCTGTTCCTGCCCTATGCCCACACTGGCTGTAGCCGCTGCCTCCCGCCCTGGGCTCCCTGACAGAAGGGACTCTGTGTCCCCTACCCTCCCATCCCCTCTGTCTCACAGAAGCCTGGGCTGGGAATGAAGGTGTCCTGGTGTCCTCATCCTGTTGACACCCCCCTAAGGATCAGGAGGGCCTGACGGAGGAGGGCTAATCCTTGTGTTTTCTTCTTGGACAGCCCAGGTGGGGGGCAGCGTTCCCAAGGTCTGTCCCCAGGGAAAGGGGTGGGTGAACCTGCTCTGAAGAGTCCCCGTGGGACCACTGCTTGAGGTTCTGGATCCCAGGGAGCCATCCCCATTTTCAAAGGCTGGATAGCATCCCTCTCTGTTGAGTCAGTATGTGTGAGGGTGTGTGTGTGAGGGTTTGTATATGCATGAGGGTGTGTGTGTATGCATGAGGGGGTGTGTGTGTATCTGTGAGGGTGTGTGTGTGAGGGTGTGTGCTGGAGCAGAAGGACCACTCTTTCCGGAGAATCCCCGGACCCTTAGAGCTGGATGGGACCTTAGAGACCATCTAGCCCAGTGCCCCCGCTGCACAGGTGAGAAAGCTGAGGTCCAGAGAGACAACACGTGCCCATGGCCACCCTGTCTCCCTCGTGTCACCTGCGTTCATTTCCCAGGGGTCCTACTGGGAAGACCCTTTGCCATTAGCCACCCACATAATCACCATCTCAGCCCAGGTCTGCTGGCCCCTCTGCCCCAGTGGTCTCCAAGCACCGTTCCTGCCCCCCCGGTGGTCAGCTCACCAAGGCCTTTACCTCCAACCCAGGGGAAGGGGTAGGGAAGGAGGGGACTGTTCCAGCCCTGAGGCCTCAATGACTTGGGAGAAAAGCCAGCCCTTCCTGCCCAGGTCCACCCCACCACCAAGGTAAAAGCACAACAGGAGACCCTCATTAACGGGTGAAAGGTATTGGGGTTGTTTTAATTACACAACCCTGCCCTCACCCCTTTGCCTTGTTCTCTGTCTCCACCCCAGTCTCTATCCCCTCTTTGTCCCTCTTTCACCTCACCCCCAAATGTAACCTCTAGTTGCGGACGCGGTTGTTTCAATCAATAAAGCTGCAGTGTTCTAGCATTCTGGGTCAGGCTGTGTGTGTTGGGGGCAGATAGGCCAGGGATGAGCAGGGAGGGCAGGCCAGACTGGGAGGGGGTATGGGTGAGAGGCTGGCGGGGGGGGGTGCCTCTCAGCCCCCTGGAGCAAGCCCTTCTCATAGCATCAGCTACCACGGATCCAGTATCCTGGGCTCCAATCCCATGAACCCAGGTGTCCTCATTCATCTGTTCTTCAGTGAATATGAGCCAAACCCAACCTCTGTGGGGCTCCTGTTTAGTGGGGGAGATGGATACTGAGGTAACAATCATTCCAGGACATATGTCATTACAAATAAAATTGGTGCAATGAAAGAAGGGAAGCAGGGGTTCTTATTTGGGTTGGAAGTTATGGGGAAAACTTCTCTAAAGAGCAGACATTTAGGAGAGGTGTAAAGAATGGTGCTTGTCTCCTGGGGCAGAAGGAATCTTCTAAGCGGAAGGGAGACCTAGAAAACTTGAGATAGGGAAAAAGGACAAAGAAGGAGAAATAAAGCTGGTTGGCCACTCCTACCAACTTTGCCCTTTCTCTTCTCAAAACCCCACACCACCAGCCTCCTACACGCACTGCCCCCCACACAATCTCTGTGTTCATGTCCACTCTGCATTCTACTGGGGAGTCATGGATATAAATATCGCTGCCTGGGGCCTGCTGTCTCTAGAAGACTTGAGAAAATTCACTCTGGAGGGGAAGAGGGTTGGCAGGCACTAGGAACATATTCCTTGGTTCTTCTGTCCATCACCCCTCTGGCAGTCCATCCGTGCCCAGGGCACAGCTGTGCACAGCGTGACAGTGACCCCGCCCAAGGGCAGGTTCCATGCAAACAACGCAGGCTGGTCTGGGAACTTACAGAACACAGTCCTGTGTTACTCACAGTCACTCCACCCCGCCCCCATTTTTATAGATGAGGAAACTGAGGCTCAGAAGGTGCTGTGGTTATCCACACTCATAAAACTAGGAAGGGAAAGAACCTGGAGGCCCATCTAGCCCGCGGCTCTGGTCCAGTGTTCCTTCACAACAACCAGATCCTCTCTTTCTCTGCCCCTTTGGGGTCATTGAGCTTTTCTCACCAGTGCATCCCCAGGGGATGGGGGAAGCAGGGTTCTTTGCCGTGTGGCCCTCCGCTTCACGTGGGAATTGTCCCTGATCCTGTTTTTCTATTTCTAGCTGACTGACCTTTTTACATATGTCCTCTGTGGAAATCTACCATAACACCTTTTCAGAGAGAGGCTGTGTATAAATAAATCCAAGAAAAAAGTCAAAATTTTTCTCCTTGAAGTCACCCCAACCTCGGGAACAGGCATCCCTCCACACTGCTTCTTGAACCCTCTGCTCCTAAATTCATCTTTCCAGGGCTTGCGGCCCTATCAGTGCTCAGCATGTCTCCCTGCTCTGAGGTCAACTTGGCAGGCCCCCCAAATGCAAATCCTACCGCTGAGTCTATCACCCTGTCTCTTTAGCAGTTTAGGTCTTTTAAAAAATGCTTTGATCTTCCCATTTCTCTAAGGCCCCATGAGGTCAGTGAAAGCTCAGCTGGGTGGACTCAGTACTCTGCAAAGCTTCATTCCATCTATACAAACTACCTGGAACTCCACTCTTGGTACCCCACCCTTGCAGAGGCCCCCCACCACACCAATATACTCTCATCCAGGAGGCAGAAAGAAATGGAGAAAAACCTGAGTGGGACAGGCTGAGACTGTCAAATACCCACAGTGTGGACAGCCTTTGAGTGATATCCTAACATAACGCTGCGAGGGAAAGACAAATTAGAAGGGATTCTGCCTTTTACCTCATCTTTTAATATAACAAGACATGTATGGATGTATGTGTGTGTGTGTTTTTTAAGTCTGAAAAAATATTCACTGGGATATGAGCAGTAGTTATCTCAGTGGTGAAGTTCCAGAAGCTTCCAGCCTCACATCTTCAGGCTTTGCTGTATTGTCTGAATATTTCTACATGAATGTGTATTTTTTTTTAACAGCCAGGAAAAAAAAAAAATCTATCTTCTCAAGAGAAGAAAAGCCAGAAGTCATCAAGGACTATAGATTAGAAATAAAGGTCACTTTCTGTTAACATTATTTTTATAACTATACATCACAGGGATTAGAAAAGGGCTTTGAACTTAGGCCATGGAATCTTTTCCTGCTGATTTATTCAAATAAAAATACTCAGACAGTTGTGAGGAGAGGGAGAAAAATTGGTTCGTGTTGACCAGCGACAAGGAGTTGTGCGTCAAGTGAATAAGAAAAATTCCAAGGAGAATAATATCACTTCCAGCAACAAGCACTAACATTTGGGGGTGTGCCTGTTTGGGGTGTAGTCAGTTTGGACATGGGTGCTCGCACACGTGTGGGTGCTCCTTGGGACCCTGTTGGCAGCCTCTGTGAGTGCTGGATTCTCCCTCCCTCATGAATGTGAAACCATTTAATGAGGCCCCCTCCAGCTAAGGTGGGTGTGCAGGCACAGCCCCTGGGAGGGGTGTGGGCAGGGCTGGGGGGACTGCGGTGGCAAGAACTGTGTTTGGGTCCTTCCCAGGCCCCTCCCCCATCCAAGTGACAGAACACCCCTCCTGGGAAATTCTCCAGCCTGGCTGGATGCTCCAGGCCTCTGCTGATCTCCACTTCGAGACAAAGGTCAGAGGGCCTCCCTGGTGGCGCAAGGGGTTAAGCACTGCACTATGAAGCTATCCACAGCCTCTGCAGCATGAGTTTGATCCCCGGCCAGCCAGAGAGATATCCACATGGCGCAGCAGACCTCTCCTGTCTCACCCGCTGCTCCCCTCAGCAGTGTATTTCAGTCAGTCTACCTGTTCTGCTCCCCACTCTGTCTCTGGTGAATCCTCTCACCCCCTGCATCTCTGGCCTGTACCCCAGTTCTTGTATGCATAAATAAATACATCTTTAAAAAAAAAAAAGACTCAGGTCAGAGAAGGGAGAGAGGGACTGAGGAGAGGTGGAGAGACAGGAGGCCTGAGCCTGTGGTGAGGGGACGAGCACTGCCAGGAGGGGCTCGTCGCCTCCAATAAGGCCAGCCCCATAGTTTCCTTATAATTTGGGAGAGAGAGTGGGGAGGTTTGAATTGAAGGTTCTTCCAATCCTAGGAGTCAGTGAAATGAGGCGTGGGGTGCTCCTAAGCGCTGTAGAGAAAGGGACCTCCGCAAAGGGTAAATGGAAATCTCAGGGACATTGCCCCACTTCTGTTTGTGGAGCTAAGTGTATGGCTGTCTGTCTCTGTTCTCTTCCCCAACACTGGGGACCCTGGTACCCAGGCTGAGGTACGACTAGTCAGCCTGCTCCCTTTCCATGCCCCCCATCCCTGGATTGGGCCCCTCCCCATTGAGAGGTGGGTAGGTGGCAGGAGCGGTGAGCCGGGAGTCTTGGCTCCTGGCCCAGGTGGCAGTGAGGGGGTGGCAGGCTCAGCCTCTGGGCTCCCTGCCCAGGGGCGGGCAGGCTGCTGTGCTCCAGTGCTCACCCTGGCATGAGCGGGACCAGCAGGGTTCTGGCTGATTCCTGAGGCAGAGGGGTCTTGGCAGGGTTGGGTGAGGGGATGTTGGGGTCACCGTGGGGCTGAGCAGAGGCAAAGGAGGAGAGACAGACTGTCTGTCTGTAGGGAGAATGGCTACAGGGTGGGGGGAGGCTGCAGGTGGACCTGGGGTGTGTATATGGTAGCAACTAGGTTGGGGGGGTCATCTTACCCTGCTTGATTCCCCAGGGGCATCAGGAGAGCCCTATCCAGCTCAGCCTCTCTCCCCTGATGGTGAGGACTTCCAATAAATCCACAAGCTTCCCCAGAGGCCACTGGCCAGCCCTGGACACCATCTCTTGGAGTGAGGGTGGAAGTGGGTGGGGGGAGAAGCCTATACTACACTAGGTTTCATAGATGTCCCTTTACCATGAATATAGAGAAGGGGACAAGGTGGGGTGCAATAAGAGTAGAAGGTGCCCATTTCCCCACCCCCTAAGATGGGAGAATGAGACCCTTTTCTTTGTCTAAATCTTGTGCAAAGAAGGTCCAGGATGGATCAATCTCCCATCCCCCTGGGGGCCCTGCTCCCTGGTAACTTCTGGCCTGTGGAGGGGTGATGATGGGAGTGGGGTTCATTTCTCATCCCTCAGTCCAGGTCCCTAACTTCTGGTGACTAGTCTTGGCTCTATGGAAATAGTCCCTCTTTCTCTGCCCTCGGGCCTCCTAGCACAGGGCCACACCTTAAAGGCCTCCCACATCTCTTGTATTTCCCTCACCCCCTGGTCACCATGGGAACAGCTTGGGGCTGGCGAAGGTGTCTGTTGCCTCCAGACCTGAGCAGTGTTCAGTGTCTCCTGGTTGGGGAGAATTGAGTCTGTCTGGAGAGATCACCCAGGTTTCAACATTGAAAGGGCCCTCCAATGACCTGCCACCTCTCCTACAATACCACCCAGGCCCGCTCCAACTGTGCCCAGTGACTAGGAGCTCAGCACTCTGCAGGCAGGTCGCTCCTTGCTGGCCAGCTATTGTTCCTTCCCACCCTCTGTATCTTCATGGAGAGGACTAGAGGGACGGGGGAGGGGGCTCTTCTCTGCACCCCAATGTTTCAGAACAGACTGGGGAACTCTAGGCTGTCCCTCTTGAGTCACTCTGTGGAGGTTGTGGCTCAGCCTTGAGAAATGAGCCAAGGCCCAACGGGAGGGACAGCCGCCGGGGTCCCTGAGCCTGGGTTCTGGTCCAGGTTCTGCTGGATCTTCTTTTGTTGCTGTGTCTGGGCTTCCATCCTACCATGTCTAAAATGGAAAGTTTGAATTCAACAACTTAATTCCGGTCCTAAGGCTCTGACTTCGGGGCTCTGTTTTATTTGCTATTACAGAAAAGGATTAGGCATAGGAACCACCACTCATAGTCCAAATCACTTTTAAGATATACCCCTGGGCTAGCAAAGGATGAATTCCAGCAACGTACATCTATCTGGGAGCACACGTCTGGGAATCAGCACCCTTGCTCGTCCCCGCAAGTCCTTGATCTTAGGCTTGACTGAGCCTGATTTCCTTTTCTGGAAATTGCATCCTCTTCAAGCCAGGGG